CTACGAAAATTAATTCGTAAGATTTTGGGTTATAGTGTATGGTTTTCTTAGAAAACCGGTGTTCTCTATAACCTATCGCTCTGATACCAAATCTGTCACACCCCGCTAAAGTGGAATCGCGAGGTATGACAGGTAGAGTCTCATAGCAATAGTGTATAAACAACACAACCATACAATTTAAAACATAAATACATCAATACTAAAGTTTACAATCCCAAATACAAGTTTGCAAAATAAACACAAAAGAAATTTAGAAAGCGATAAATATGACACGACTTCTAATAAGTGCACCAGAGTCTTTCTTACCCTGAAAAGCACGTCAAAAACAAGTGTCGACTACAAGAGTTGGTGAGTTCACAGGTTTCATATGCACAAAATGATTTTAAATGCAGCAATCTCAGTTATAAATTTATGAGCACTATCTTAAAATAAAACAACGTCATACACATGATATAAATTTGTTGAGCCACTACTAAAGCTGAACAACTTTCAACGCCCCACGAACTACCTCAGAGGTGGTAGCGAACCACATGTGTAGAAAATACTTACGAACTACCTCAGCGGTGGGACTAAAATCCCACATGTGTAGAACTAGTGTCGGACTACCTCAGCAGTGACCACTTCGTGTCACATGTGTAAAACTCCTACCGGACTACCTCAGCGGTGACCACTTCGTGTCACATGTGTAGAGCAAATTTTATTGACCAAGTGCACCACTACTCGTCAGTAGAATGGGTGGGTATAACAACCAAATAGCGCTATCCACTAGAATCATAGGCTCAAAATGAGTCAATAGTAGTGTAACAAACGGGGACTTTTAAACTCAACATATTATCAATGGTGTATACATTAAATTGCTCACAACATGATACATAAATCAATATAAATTTATCAAACATTCATTAATCATGCTTTTCACCCCAAAACGAGAAATTGGTAAAAAGGGGGCTGTGAAACTCACTTTTGTTGTGGAGCTTCGCAAGAAAAAGAGATACGATCCAAACACCGCACTAGATCAACGATTCCCTATCAATAGGAATATCCAAAACCATCACTAATTGATTTATCTCTACCTATGGGGTTTAATAAATCCTAAGTCCATATTTGTCTACTTATGTCCCATAATATTATCCATAGTCCAAATATACATAATGTCCATATGCTCATTAATGAATTCATTTATACCGGAAATGATGCTATAATCCAATAAAAGATCAAATTTTACAAATTCAACCAATCTAGAAATCTTGATCCTGGACAGAAACTTAAGATACATAAAGATGATCAAAATAAAGAGACTTCAAAAATGAGATAATTTCCCATCTTTTTATATGGTTTATAGCACTGAGTTATAGTCATCGTGACCAAATTTCATGTATTTTGGGCATGAGATGATGATTCAAATAATATATGCAATACAACTTATCACAACTGAAATGGCAGATTACACCATGTTAGTAAAACATTCATTAATAGAGTTCTACTAGGTGTTCTGCAGAAATTCAAGTTGGATTGAAAACCTAACACTTATACGAAACGTTCAAACTAAAAATCACTCATTTTAAACGAGTTAAGAGGAAGATATGACACCTTAAAGTCACATGAACACATCTATTATTAGTTGACAGATTGCACACTTAACTTAAATAAATTGGTTCATGCCCCAAAACATCATATTTTTGAGTGAAACTGGATTCAAATGAATCCTAACTCATAAAAGAACATTTTAGAAGAATAATCATACATTAAGAACAAGTAAGTAGAAAGATATTAGCATTCGAAGTAAGAGTTACCTACTGGTGGTTTCACAGTTTGCACACCTATAGTGTTTTAGGTGCTTGCAGATTAAAACTGCATAATTTCATGTGATTCCACTTGCATGTAGGATATAACCCATAAAATTAACTCTCAAAAGAAGAATCATTATTTTTCATCGAGTTTTGGAAGAGATAAGATCGATGGAACACACATATACAAATCGGTCAGAATCGGATAGATTGCATGTTCATCTTATTTTGAGTAATTAAAACCACAAATCACCTCAATATTGAATGAAATCGGTGGCATTTGAAAGGTAACTCATTAAAATAACATCCAGAAGAAAAAGCAACAATTTTGGATGATTATCTAGAGAGTTATGGCTGTTCAAAGTAGGGTTTACCTACTGAAAAACTCTCAGATGCACAAATATAATGTTTTGAGTATTTGGAGGGTCAAAACTCAATGTTTTTGAGTGAGACCAATTGAATTACAACCCCAACTCAATAGATAAACTTTTAAAGAAACCTCATAACATTTGAACAAGCCATTTACAAGATATGGACGATTTGTGCATATGCACATAATCTGTCAGCACCAAAATATAAGGTTTTTAAGAAATAAACTCACATAARATCATAACTCTACCTATCTTTTTGAGTTCTATTGTTTGGGTCATGGATTACCACAATCAAATAAACATTTTTACATGTTTTTGGTATATAATCTCACCTTAAGACTC